TGAAGTTTTGGTTAATCAAATCCAACAAAAAAAAGGATAATACATCATGATCAGGTGGGGTTTATCCCAGGGATGCAAAGTTGGTTTAACATTTGAAAATCAATCAACATAACTTACCATATCAACAGAAAGGAAAAACATATGATTATCTCAGTAGATGCAGAAAGATCACTGGACAGAATCCAACACCCATTCCTGATGTTAAAAAAAAAAAACTCTCAGCAAACTGGCAAAGAAAAGGACATCCTCCAACTGAGAAAAGGCATCTACAAAAACTTTACAGCTAACATCATACTTAACTGTTAAAGAATGACACTCACCCCTTAAATGAGAACCAGACCTGGGGTTTGCTCTCTCCCTGCTAGTTGCCATAGTGCTGGAGGGTCAAACCAGTTCAGACTGCAAGGAAGTAAAACGCCCCTGATTTGTGAATGACAAGATCATCTATGTGGACGATCCTACGGACTCTACAAGACAAAACGTCACCGAAATGAGCAGTGTTAGCGCACTCAGCGAGGTGGCGAGACACAGCCAGCCGCAAGCAACACGTTTCCAGAGCCAATTACACACGTCATCGAGTCACGTGACGTAGCGTCCCACTCGCAGGTATTTACCCAACAGGAAAGGAGGTACGTGTCCACACAAATTTGCACACAAGTGTTCACAGCCGCTTTATTTGTAACAGCCCCGAACTGGGAACTACCCAAACGTCCGTCAACAAGTGACAGGGCAAACCGTTCTAGGTCCACACGATGGACGTGATCAGCCATAAAAAGCCGTGAACCATCCGTCGACACTTGGCAACGACGCAGGCGAGTCCGAAGGTGACTGTGCTGGGGGAAAAGGCGTGCGAACTGTGTGATGGCGTCTGTACCACATTCTAGAAAGAGCCAGTGGGTCTACAGTGACCGAGGCAGACGTGGGGCTGCCTGGGTCGGGGCTGGGAGGGGGCGTGAGACGACCTCTGGGGGTGATGGGAACAGCCACTGTCTAGATTGTGTCAGAGTTTCATGGACAGAAACAGGTCAAAATGTATCAGATCATATGCTCTAAGTAGTGTCAATTATGTCTCAATAAAGTTGTTATTTAAAACAACAAACAAATCAGGTTGATCTGCTAGACAGACAGACAGACAAGAGGCCTGTGTGGAGGGACTGGGGAGGCCGCTGAGGTGATGGGCTCGGCCTTGGCTGCTGAGTGAACACACTAAGTGTGAACGGGGGTGACCTCACTTTAAAATGCACGAGACCCCTTTTTGTTTTCGCCTTCTCTCCTGGGGCCTCACTGGAGCCCCCCCACGCATGGGGCTGGCCACTCCTGCACCTGTGCTGGGACCACTGAGGGAGGGACCCCTCCTCCCCGAGAGACACTGGGGGTGCTGCCTGCGACTCTTGGTCACAGACACCATAGGGATGGGTGGCCTCGAGCTGGGCAAGTGCGGCAGAGGAAGAGGTTGGTTGCTATGGCCACAGCCCTGCTTCTAAAGACTGGGCGTCCCTCCTTCTCCCTTGAAAGGGAAGAGGCAGAACTGAGAGCCAGGGGCACGCGGGGACAGGGGCCTCCCGGCTTGGCTCCTGTGGCCACAGGGCCGGTTCTACGTGTTGCTGCCGGACCGAACCACCCGCACTCACCCCACCCCAAGAACCCGCCGGGGCCCTTGTCTGTTCAGGAGCAGCAATTTGCGAGGAAGGGAAATGGGGACAGATGGGCAGGACAGCCACACCGCCCCGTGTACAGCCTGTCCACGTGCGCACGCGGGCTGTTCTTCTGCCCGCACAGCCTGTCGGACACATTCTGGGAAGAGGGAGCCCCAGCCTCGAGGATCGGCCAGCAGGAGCCTGGTAAGCACCTAGCAGTGCACTGCAGGCACTGGGCCACGGGGCTGGCGCTGGCCCCTGGGACCAGCAGCACATGGGTGCTTGGAAATGCAGTCTCAGGCCCCATCCCAGACAGACTAGAGTCAGACCCACGTCTTTTTTTTTTTTTGCGGTACGCGGGCCTCTCATTGTTGTGGCCTCTCCCGTTGCGGAGCACAGGCTCCGGACGCGCAGGCTCAGCGGCCATGGCTCACGGGCCCAGCCGCTCTGCGGCATATGGGATCTTCCCGGACCGGGGCACGAACCCGCGTCCCCTGCATCAGCAGGCGGACTCTCCACCACTGCGCCACCAGGGAAGCCCCAGACCCACATCTTAACAAGACCCCAGGCGACTCACACATGCAAGTGTTTGCAGCCATGGGCCCTCAGGGGACTTGGCGAACACGAGATGGCCGATTGCATGCAGGGTCTCGAGAAACGACGCGGGCGGGCAGCTTCTGAAGTGCTGCTTGAGGCGCACACAGGCAGAAAATTGTAGGTCCGCTGGCAGGTCTCTGAAGCCCCTTGTCATAGCGAGGCTAGGGCCTTGTGTACAGGACCCAGAGCCCCTGATGGAGGGGAGGCTGGCCCCCCTGACAAAGAACTGCCTGTACAGTCACTAGCCTGTGGCCCCAGTTACGTAAGGGGCACCTGCGGCAGCCTCAGTGACGGCCCTATGGAGGGGATTCCTAGATGATGGCTCTGAAGTGAGGCCGATCCGCACACACCGGAAAGCCACCGTCGCTGGTCACACGGGGCGTGGGCCTGAGGCTGGGAGCCCACGGCTTTGCAGACCCTTCCTGTAGGTGTTTCCACCTCCGCAGAACGGAGAGTGCGCCGTTCATACTCAGCGAGCAGCCACAGCCCCACACTGGCCCCGGCTGCCGCATGGGGGCTATGGTGGAAGCCCCCAGGCCTGCCCTCCGCGCCAAACCAAAATAGCACCATGTTTCTGGGGTTGGGTCCAGCATCAGGAACTGGGGAGACGTGAGGGTGGGGATTCCTTCTCTGTTCTCCATATCACTCGCCAGATGGGTGCCGAGCGACAGATGATCACAGCATAACCCAGGGCGACACCGACCGGCTGAGGTCTGGACGTGTACCTTTACTGGACAAAATCCCACAGTCCGTGGCGCCAGTATGCAGCGCAGCTGGCTTTCCTGTCCCCCTCGAGGAAGGAGACCAGCGGGCTCCCGCACATGGCAGGCACGGCAGCCCACCTTCGGAGTCTGCCTGATGGTACCAACGCTCCCACCACCTGAACACGGTCCAGGGATCTTGGTTCCCTTGATGACATTATGCCGATTAGACAGGGCGGCCAAGAGATGACAAGCACCCTAGAGGCCTCGGTAAAGCCCATGCGTCCCGCAGCGTGAGAGGTAAACCTGCTGAAAGTCCAGGGAAGTTTGGGGGTACGACGGTCTGGCAACGCGGGCATGTGCAGGACCACTTCTAGGAGGCAGAGCGCTCAGTGAGGCTCTGGGTGGGGGAGCGGCCCACGCCACATCTGCACCTGCTGTTCTCACCCATCTCCTGGGCCCCAGGACACTCGCCCCTTGGGTGGGTAGCCCATCAGACCCCACGCAGCCTGGAGCATCTGTGGCAGACACCCGTGGCAAACGCCTCCAGCCCAGAGCCCTGGCATCCTGGAGCAAGTCCATCTCCTCCTGCGTCAAACACAATTCTCCACTTGAAAAGCAGCTCTGGGTCTGCCACTGAGCTCTGGGGCAGGTCCAACTCATTTACCAAGTGGCCACGTGACCCAAGGGCCCAGTGAGAAGACGGTGCACACAGCATTCGGTCCCGAATTTAAACATCAGAGCTGGGCCCAGGCGCGTCCAAAAGCGAGTCACGTGACCGGAGCCGCCAGCTCCTGAGCTGCCTGCTGCCTCTCCCTCAACCCGCAGCCGCGTGTGCACGCGCACCGGCGTCCCCGGCACGCAGAACCAAGGTGCACGCCCGGCTCACGCAAGCAGCGTCCGACGGGTCAGCCGGTGGCCAGACCCAGAGCCACGAAGACAGGACACTTGGGGACAAAGGTCTGGGGACAGGGACAGAGAGGTTTCCGTGTCCTGCAGGAGAGCTACACCGCTCCAGGCAGCGTCCCCGACAGCAGGGGCTCATCAACGGGGCATGTCGATGTCAGCCTCTTTCTGCCATCTGTGACCACTCCGTGGGCCCAGGTGCAAAGTGGCCATGACAGCAGGGACGGAGGACGTGCACGGGCCAATTACGTGGACTTCCCGAACTCCCACCACAGCTCCCAGCCCAAGCCCAAACCAGCAAAGACCAGAACGCGGTCAGAGGATGGGGACACCCCAGCAACCCGGTGGCCGCTTGACAACACACAAACCACAGTGAAAGCGGAGACGGTGACCTACCCCTGGAGACGGCTGTGGCTTTGCCGTCCTGGCCAAGACGCAGGTGCCACTGCTAAATCCCCACTGACTGCCCTGGAGCCGCACCTGTCTCCGCAGGAGGGGCCCGTCTGAGGTCTCTGCTCAGTGGGGCGTGCGGCGGAGCGTGCAGTGTCCAGGGGAGGAGCCGGGGAACCCAGCACCCTTCCCAGTAGGCTGCGAGCTGAGGTGCCCCCTGACCATCCGGGGTCCTCAGGCTACCGAACCAGCAGGCAGAGAAAAGGCTGCTTTAAAAAAATTTTTTAATTGAAGTATAGGTGATTTACAACGTTCCATTAGTTTCTGGTGTACCGCAAAGGGATTCAGTTATATACGTGTATATATAGGGTCGGCCAGAAAGTTTGTTCGGGTTTTTCCATAAGATCTGACGGAAAAATCCAAATGAACTTTTTGGCCAACCCAATCTATATATTCCTTTTCACATTCTTTTCTATTACAAGATGTTGAATACAGTTCCCTGTGCTACACAGTAGGGCCTATTGCTTATATTTTATATATAGCAGTCTGTATCCCAAGAAAAGGCTGCTTTAACGCCGGAGTGATGCATTCCTCCCACCGCTACCGACCGGACTGGATCCCTCCGGTTCATACACTGCCGTTCTCACCCCCAGTACCTCAGACTGTGGCCTTATTTGGAGAGAGAGCTTTAAAGAGGTGATTCAAATGAGGTCCTGTGGGTGGGCCTGAATCCCACACGGCTGGTGTCCTTATAAGAAGAGGAGATCAGGACACAGACACACACAAAGGGACGACCCTGTGAGGACACGGGGAGGAGGCGGCCGTCCGCAAGGCAAGGAGAGCGCCCTCAGGAGGAACCCCTGCCCTCAGGCTGCGGCCTCCAGGATGCGAGAGAATGAGCCTCTGCTGTACGGGCCACCTGCCCACCGTGGTGCTTGGTCACGTAGCCGCATGCAGCTAGAGCTTCCTGACGAGGCAGGAAGACAACGCCCAGAGACCGGGGGCCCACTGGGCACCCCAGCACCCCTTGTATGTAACAGCCGGGCCCCAGGCACCAAGCCCTGAAGCCTCCCCAGCGGCCAAGGGCAATGGGGACAGGTGCTGGCTTTGGGGTTCAGGTGGAGAACGCTCACGCTGACATCCCCAGCCCAGGATGAGGCCGCTGGTGGGCCCTGGTGCCCCGCCCTTTCCATGTGGACAGGAGCCGGGGGTGACTGGGCCTTGCCTTGCGTGTGCCCTGCCAGGCCTGCCTCACCCATCCCTGAGCCCAGGCGGCTCGGAGGGCAGCAGAGAGAGGAGGGTGGGTCGGAGCCCCCACTCCCGCTTGCATCGCTCCAGACTGGCTGCACCCCCGCTCCTCGCCACGTGGCCTCACCAGGTGGCCTGGGCTGGGCGTGGGGGTTGGGGAGGAGCCCCAGGGCTCCACACCACCCCTCGTGGCTTCCCTGCCCCCGTCCACATGTCCATCCACAGTCCCCAAGTCGCCCTCTTCTGGGCGTGCTGCTTCCTCCTGGACCCAGGTAAGGAGCCCAGATGACTGCAGGAGTGGACACTGTCGGCCTCCCCTGCAACTGGGGACAGTCTGGGCCAGGCAGGGTGCAGGGGGCAGCCGGGCTGGGCCTCAGGAAGTGGGAACCCTCTGGGCCCTCCTGGCGCAGGGGCTGGGAATGGGGCCTGCTGCACCCAGCGGTGACGCCAGAGACCCCAGGCGCGCAGGGCTGGGCAACTCACACCTGTCTGCGCTCGACCCGAGTCCCATCCCGGCTCCCACAGGCAGGGGTGGGGCGAGGCGGGGATGGCCTCACTCCAGCCAGGCCTCGTGTCTGCCCAGTGCCCACCACGAAGGCCGTCCCCATTACTGTGTGTGGAAAGGCACTTTAAGGGGGTGAATGAGGGGCAGGAGGGGACAAACAGAGGGGATGACCGGCTGACGGCACTCTGGCCCAGCATGGCTTCTGGCCACCCAGGCTTACGGTCAGCACAGGTCCAGTCGCGGGGCAGCAGTGGCCCTCACAGGGTGGGGACCCCCAGGTACCACACGGGGCTCGAGAAGGGGCCTGGTCGGGCCCAGTAGTCCACAGCACGAACCCGGTAGGAGCCGGAGACAACAGCCGTGTCTGAGGATACAAAGGTACGTGCCTGCCCTTGAACCTGAACCCCTCTGATCCCTCCAAACTCCAGGTGCCGGAAGGCCCTGGACCCCGCCCCACAGGGACTGTGCTGAGGCAGCAGGCACACCTGGGCTGAACACAAAGAGGTTAAAGGTCGAAGGCTTCCTGTTGATGGGCAGGTACACCACACCCTCCGGGGAGAACTGGATCTCGTAGGTCCACAGGCACCTGGGGAAGGTCAGGCAGGACCAGGGCTGGGGTCCAGGGGGGCTGGCAGGCAGGGGGCGCCCAGAGCCCTACTCCCCTCCAGCCCCCTTCCTGGCCCCTCCCCGGGGCCCAGAACACTCTTCCTGCAATGACAAAGGGCCACACTGGCTGAGAGGAGGGGTCTGGAACACGTGCCAGGGACAACTGGCCTGTGTAGGCGCCCCCACCCTACATCACAGAAGCACAAAGTCATGAGCCATTTGTGCCAACAGTGGGGGCAGCTGTATGGGCGGCGGAGAGCACAGTCCGCGTGAGGTGACCAAAGGACCACAGAGAGTGGCCACATGGGCGCTGCAGCCCGGAGGATCTGGGGGCCCAGGGCGCGTTGGGGGGGCAGGGGTAGGGGTGGTGGCCGCACTCACGTACTTGGAGCCCACACGCTCATCGGACCAGACCAAAAGCAGCTGCCCGCGGGTCAAGGGGAGAGCGCGGAGCCGGGTCACCTGCGGGAGTGAGGCACCGGGACTGGTTGGGGGCGGGGCGACCGGGGCGGCGGCGGGAAGGGGACTGCCACTTGCCTGCCCCGGCGGCTCCTCCGGGCGCGCGCACACGTGCACCAGCCAGAGCGAGGGCAGAGGAAGCTCTGGGCGCAGCGTCAGGCGGCCGCTGCTGGGAAAAGGGAGCGGCATCACGGCCGCCGGATCCTGGGGACAGAGTCAGGGGCTCAGGGCCCTCGGACCTCGGGAGCCGCCCCGCCCCTTACCCCACGCTCCCCGCGGACCTCGGCCGCGCGCATGCGCCGGAACTGCTCAGCAGAGGGGTAGACGGGCCTGCCCAGGCGCTGCCACTCGCCGTAGGGACTGCAGAGCCAGTTGTCCATGTACAGCTGGACAAAAACGACCTCTGCGGAGCGGGATGCTGGGGCCGGGCTCGCCTCCTCCAGGCCCCGCCCCGCCAGAGCTACCCCCACCCAAGGAGCTGGAGCCCCCTCTCTGGGAGCCCTGCTTACCCGGACCCGGGGGCACCCCGTACAGGCTCAGAGTCAAGGGTACGCTGCGGTTGGCATGGGCGCGGGTGTCGTCGCTCGCGTAGACCAGCACCGTGGCGCGCCAGGCATCGGCGGGGCCCATGGGGTGGTGGGTGCTGGCCAGGACGCCCACCGTGTGGTTGCTGTCCAGCACCGTCCCGTCCCGCGACACCTCAGCCCAGAGCTGCTCGCCGTCTACGGGGGTTAGAGGGGTCACCACGCAGAGTCGTCGCCCCTCGACCTTCCCAGGGCCCGCTTCCCACCATTTGCCCTCCTCCACTGGAGGTCCCCGGCCACACCACAATCTCTGTGACCCACTGAGCTGGGGAAGGGTGGGGAGGGACAAGAAACATGCTCCCGGCTCCCCAGCAAGGCACATCCTTCCGTGGGCCTTTGCACAAGCTACTCCTGGCCTAGAACGACATCCCCGTCCAACTGAGGCTTCGTCCTGGCCCCGCCCTCGCAGGAAGTGACGCGAAACCCGGCACGCGGCTCACCCAGCAGGGCCAGCAGGGCCATCGCCGTGAGCACCGGCTTGCGCAGCAGCTGCACGTGCGGCGGGCGCGTGTTGTTGACCTGGAAGCGCGCAGTGAGCGTGCGTTGAGAGAAGGGGTGCGGGTGGTAACTCAGGAAGGCGTTGTCATTGCTTAGGAGCGCGTAGCGGACGGAGGAGCTGGTGTTGGCCACCAGCAGGTTCTGGTGCTGTGCGATGACCTGCGGGAATCGGGGTGGCTGGGAACGCGACCGCGGGGGCCGCCTGCCTGCCCCTCCCACCCGGGAGAAAGGCCTCCCCCGGGGGTGGGCCTGGCGGCGGGCCCACCTTCACGACCATGGCAGCGTAAGTCACGTCAGCCCTCCAGGGCTGCGGCAGGGACCAGCCCACCAGCGGGTCGGCCTCGTCGTTGTAAACGGGGGTGTCCGCGAACTTGGGGAAGAGCCGCTGTATCTGCCGCACGACCGCCGCCTCCTGCTCCAGGATGTAGATGGAGCTGCCCGCGCCCTGCGCAGAGGCCCCACCTGAGCAACCCCCGAGACCGCCGCGGAGGGGCGGCGGGGCTGCAGGCAGCAGGCGGGCATTCTGGGGTTGCCGCGTGCGGGGGACCCCCGCGTAGGCGCTGGGTTGGGGGCGGGGACGGACGGAAGGGCGGGGATCCCGGGCTTGACCTTCTTGTGGAGGGCGATGTAGTCCAGCCTCACGCCCACCTCCCCGGTGAAGAAGTTGGTGCCGTTGTGGCAGTGCTCCAGGAGGCCCCAGCAGAGCGGGGAGCGCGGCAGCGGGTGGAAGGAGTCTCCGGGGCCGCCCAGGCGCAGAGCCGAGCTGGCGGCTCGCAGACCCTCGGAGCAGGCGTCGTAGTAGTTCAAGAAGCCTGGGCGGGAGGGACACCGAGTCCACACCCCCGCGCCGGAGGGGCGGCTGCCACCCCCTCTCAGATCCGCAGGACCCCAGGAGGCCGGCCTGCCCACCTTGCAAGGTCATGGACACGTTGTCAAAGTCGTGGTGGTCCGGCTCGTTCCACGTCTCGAAATTCCACTTGGAAACGTGCTTGAGGCCGTACCTACCTGCAGAGGGTCCCTACTGTGGCGAGAGGGCCCCTCCCCTGGGGCAGGGTCATGAGCTCATGGGGATCCCCAGGGAGGGCAACCATGGTGGGGGGTTTGGATGTGACCGGAGTGTCTGATTCCCTACGAGCTCGCCGCCCACCGACTTGCCCCCCCCTCCCCCATCAGGAGGCCCTGGTTCAGTGGGTTCATGATGAGAAGACCAGGAGGTGGCCCGGGTGGGCATGGGAGGAGAGCCTGCCCAGGAGTGCCCACCCTGTCCCCGCAGGGCACGCGCCCCACCCACCGATGTATCTCCTGGCCAGGAGGGAAACCAGGTTCTTCCACTCGAACACCTGCCGCTCGTCCTCGAAGTCAGTGAAGCGTCCGGAGGGGCTGCCCATCAGCTCAAAGCCTGCAGCACGTGAGGGTGGCTGTGCTCACCTGCCTGTCTCCACCAGGCCGGCACTGAGGGAGGCCCTGAGTGGGCAACCAGGAGGACAGAAGGGCCAGGCCAAGGGGAGGGGGTGGGGCCAGTAGTACAGGGGCGAGGCTGGCAGCTTACCTGGGACGAGCTGGTTCTCCCTGAGAAGGTCCAGGTACCGGTCCAGGTGGGTGAAGTTGTAGCTCAGGCCCTGCCTGGCTGACCCCCTGTAGAAGGACACTCAGTGTCAGGATGGGGGAAGGTGGGCCCGGGACTGGAACCGTGGCCACATTCAAGCAGCTAAGAAACCTGCAAGGTGCCGGGCAGGACTAGGCTCCAGACTCAGCTGGCCCCTCTCCTCAGAAAGCATAACTATGTACGCCTATCAGTCACTCACAGCCTAGTATGAACTAGGGTGTCTGTGCTGGAATCCCACCCTCGAGCCTTCAGGGGCTCAGAACAGCCTGTGGGAGGGGGCAGGCGGGTCTTTTGGGAAACGTACAACAGGATGGAGGGGGGAGAACAGGCATCCTAAAGACAGCTGACAGTGAAGCGGGAGGCCGTGGGATGAGCCTGGCAGGACCCCATGGTGCCACATCCTGCTTCCCTGCACCTCCTGGAGGCCAGGGCCCCAGACTCGGCTCCACACTCTGAGAGGCAATGTGGACAGGCAGGAGAGGGAGAAGGGCAGCCTCCCCACCCTGCACTCATCCCTGCGGTGGAAATGAATTCATGATAAGCAGCAGGAAAGCAGCTAGCGGGCCTGGGGCAGAAGAGGGGTGTGGGTTGTGAGAGACGAAGTCACACGGGGCCTCGTGACAACGGTGAGGATGGGATCCTGACTCGGGATGGGACCCAGGGTGGCATGGGGAGTCCTCTCAGGGGTCGAAGCAGAGCAGTACCGTGACTTCTTTTATGTGTTTGTAGGACAATTTTTTAGAACAGTTCTGGATTCACAGCAAAATTGAGACGGAGGTACTGAGATTTCCCATTTACCCCCAGCCACGCTCTCTCCCCACGTGCACAGCCTCCCCCATGATCAACATCCCAGAGTGGGACTTTTGTTACAACTGATGGACCTACACTAACATCATAGTCACCCCAAATCCACAGTCCACATTAGGGCTCACCTGGTGATGTACATTCTGTGGGTTTGGAAAAATGTATACTGGCGTGTATCTACCACTGTAGTATCACACAAAGTATTTTTACTGCCCTAAAAATCCTCTGTGCCGCACCTCTTCATCCTCCCCCACCCCAAACCCCTGACGTGTTTACTGTCTCCATAGTTTTGCCTTTGCCATGTTTTGAAAGGATCCCTTCATCGGCCCATTGGAGCCAGAGTGGGAGCTGGAAGACGGTTCCCCGAGGGAGGTATGGTGCCCAGACTGGGTGGTGTTGGTGGCAGCAGCAAGGGGGAGCTGGAGCGGACGGATTCAGGAGGCCGAGGGGCCAGCGTCCTCTGCCGGACTGGAGGGGAGCTGGGAAGGGGGGGTTCTGCACAACCGTGGATTTCGCTTGAGCGCCTGCGGGTGCGTGCAGTTGGCAGAGGCAGGCGGGGGAGTAAGATGGGTCTCGAATGCGCTGGCGTGGAAGTGGTGCACCTGGGGTCGGGGGCTGGGTGAGGAAACTGGTGCTCAGCCGTCAGGCCAAGGCAAGGAGGGCGAGGCAGGCTGAGTAGAGCACCGAGCCTGGGGTTGATGCGGCAGCCTGGGGTGGCCCAGATGGGTGGGCCGGCAGAGGGTCTGAGGGCTTCCCCTTAGGGCACGCCTGGTCCATCCACAGTTCTGAGGGGGAGGGCGGACACGTTCTAGAGGGCGTGCAGCTGCGCCCTCTAGTGGCATCCAGGTGCGTCCCGCCTGCGCGGCGGCGAAGGAGGGGCGACGAGGGATCAAGGTGGAATCTGGCCCTGAACCGCTCTGGGTCTAAGTCTCCCAGTCAGTCCCACGCCAGTCTGCACCCTGAGGGACAGCGAGGGTCTGGACAAGTCAGCACGTCCCTTCCGGGCCTCCTCTGCCCCACTCGTCACTGCACAAGGTCAAGGCCGAGCCACCACGCAGACAGGGTGCCTCTGGCTCTCACCAGGCCAGGCCACGTCTTCCCACCTCCGGAGCCCAGACCCACAGCACGTGCGCAGCGGGGGTCCGCCCTTCCCCCTTCCAAAGGTCACAACCAGTAGCAAAGGAAAAAACTTAAGCGCTTGGGTAAAAATTAAATGCGTGGCAGCGGACGGGTTCCAAAGTCCCACAGATGGGGGTGGGGGAGCAGGCGTGGGAGATGGGCGACGCATGTACAGTGGAGGCCCGGGCACGGGTGCCAGGCTTTCTCTGCAGATCCTGGCAGCGCTGGGCCGACTTGGGGCGGGGGCGGGAGCACATCAGGCCTCGGGTAAATGCTGTTTGGCGCTCAGTGTCCTGGGCCAGCGGGGTGTCACCAGGGGAGCCCCAGCTGCAGAGCCGATCTCAGCCTGTCACTCTGAGTAGACTTGAGTGTCCGCTGACCCAGCGTCGGCACCCAGAAATGCCCTAGGAGTCAGTAACCTGCCCCCCGGGGACCAGAAGACCCAACCTTGGGGTGATCCCAGGCCCAGAAACCCCGGGGAGCAGTCCTCAGGCCCCACTGTCGGTGCCTAGGTCTCCATCCGTCTCAGCCTCCGTTGGGAGGGGAATTTGAGAGATCAAAGCTAGTGAGGGGGCTGAGCCAGAAGGTGTAGCGCGCAGCCCACCCCTGCACTCCCCCTGCAGAGGCCCGGGTCACAGACGCAGTCCAACCCGAGAGCCTCTCCATCCTGCAGCCACGCAGGGGGCCGAACCTGGGCGCGAGGCACAGGCAGCGTCGCCTCCCGCTCCTGGCCCGGCACTTGGGCCGGGGCAGCCGAGGCTGCACAACGACTTTATTCACTGCACGCCGGCGGCCGTCAGGAACGCCTGCACCAGGAACGCCCCCCACCCCCCATCCCTGGGCCTGAGCGCGTGCGCCGCAAGGACCCAGCAGCACCCAGGACTGGTGAGTGCTCGGGAGCGCGGGGCGGGGCCCCAGGCCTCGCGTGCTCGGGCGTGGAATCTGGGGAACACAGGGTGGGGATCGGGCCGGGTGCAGATGGGGCCGCGCTTGCTCGTCTGGCAAAGGGAGAGACGCACTCGTGGGAGGGGGCGCAGGGTGTTTGGAAATGTGCTGGGTGGGGCCCGGGCCGCGCGTGCTTGGCTTGGGGGGTGCACTCGTGGGAGGAGGCGCAGAGCGGGGGTACGTGTGGAAATGCACGGGGTGGGAACCCGGGGCGCGCGTGGTCGGCAGGGATGGCGGGGCGCGGGGCCAGGGTGGGGAAATACATGGTGCAGGGCGAGAGTGCTCAGAGGGGGAGACACAGACCCGCCGCTGCGGGAAACCAGCAGCCACAGTCAGGGTCCGGGGCTGCGAAGACGCCGGCCGGGGAGGCAGGAGAGGCCGGGGAGGCAGGAGAGTCGCTCTTCTGGAACTGGGAGCCCTGGGGTCTGGTTCTCGGGGCCCTGGAGCCCAGCCTCTTTTCACTTGCGGGGATACATGGCTCCTTTCCAAATAAGTGTACTCAGTGGCTTAAAATGGTGATTTAAAGACCAATATTAAAATAACCATGTGGCACAGGACTGGGCAGGAGGCAAGATGAGGGCGGTTCCAGCAGGCGGAGGTGCTGGAGACCCCACGCCCCGTGCTGGTTAACCCGTGCCAGGGTCCTGTGGCCCCCCTGCCCCAGTGGAGGAGTCTGCAGTGGGCCTGCGGAGGTGAAGGGGGACAGTGGGCCTCGGCCAGCAAGGCCCCAGGACCCAAGACGCTCGCCTGTGTGCCTGGTCAGACGGCAGCATGAAAACCACAGTCCTCAAAGCACAGAGGGACAGGCAGGGTGGGGGGGCGCTTAGGCCCCGGGGTCCTGCAGTTCTCTCTCAGCTGTATCTCTTCACCTGCTTAGAGGGGCTGGGGGAGTAGAGGCCCAGTCCCTGCCACCAAGGCAGCCAAGGTCAGGCCCCTTGCGGTGCAGCTGGATGGGGGACACGGGTGCTGCAGCGCTGAGAACAGCCCCTCCCTGAAACATAAATATCTCCACCTGCCTAAAATCCCACCACAGGTGCTCCAAACCTAGGCAGCCCCTGAAAGCCCTGTCCCCACCTCCTGAGAGGGGGAGGGGCCGCCGCCCCCATTCACCCCTCCCCTCCCCGGCAGTGGGCCCAGCCGCCACCTCTGCCCACACGTGTCACGCAGGGAGTTCCCACGATGCCGCCCCGCCAGTAGCTGGGTTGGGAGATAAGCGTGTTATGACCCCTCGGTGGCCCCTCCACTCCAGCCCTGAGAGGACTCTTATCTGCCCCTGAACTGCTGTGACTTTCCCGCCAGCCCTCTGGGCGGTGGCTCCTGTAAACCACATCCTTGGACAAACAGCACCCCCAGGACTGAGTGGGTACCACGCAGGAGGCCCCGGGCTCTGCCCTGGGTGGCTGGGTTCAGACTCCGGAGGGCGGGGCGAGACCTCGGGGCCCAACACAGACTCTTGAAGAACAAGTAATCGGACGGACGCGGCATCGCAGTGGGGCCTCGGCCCCGACCACTCCGCCCCCTTGATGCAGGTGTGCAGACCCTCCCACTCTCTGGCTATCCCCCCAGCCACCCTGGGGTTCCACTCCCACCTCTGCCCCCAAATGGGGCCTCTGGTCTTTCCCATCCGGGCCACGGATGTGGCAGAACTTTCAGGGAGGCTCTGGAGGGAAGTCCCAAAGTGAGACTGAACGTGGGAGGTGCCTGGATGGAGCTCCCCCCACCCCCTGCCCCGGGCTTTGGGAGACAGCAGGCCCAGGCCAGCTCAGCCTTGCAGCCCCGTCAGAGGGACCCCTCGCAGCCTCTCAGGCCTCCCCTCCGGGACGGAGAACACTCAGGGCTGCGGTGTTCTTTCCCCACGTTGCCCCTCAGGCACCCCCTTGTTCATTTTGAAGATGTGATAACTGAGGTTCCGAGTAATTTTAAGAACAGCAGCGCACTCTCAGTTACCTGTGCGTGGGACACGAGGGCAGTCATCTAAAGGGAACGTCTACCTTCACACCCGCCCCGTGAGGCAGCTCCCGCCGGCCCTGCAGTGTGGATGGAGGCGCGGCGAGGCCAGGCGGCCACCCACCGCACCGGGCCCGCACCTGGCCGGGATCCAGGTGGCGGGGCTCCAGGGGACAGAACCAGGACCCCCGTCCCTGCAGCAGGAAGGGCACAC